TGTAAATAAATATGTATATATATATATACATGTAAATAAATATGTAAATCATCTATATTCTGATTTCACATCTAAAATTCATATTTAAAAATGAAATGACTGCTTAAATTGTTTTTTGAAATTTCCAAGGTATATGCATCTGGGACGGAATTATATTGACAAACACTTTTAAAATTAATAAATAATTAATTAATAATTAAAATTAATTATTTTTTATTTAAAATTTGTTTTTACTATAAATATGTCTCAAAAATTAATTTAAAATAAGAATATTTAATATTTTAATATTACAAACATGTTGAATTGACTTAAATTAAAATAGATGAACAATTTTATTATTCTATTGATTTCATCATATAATTTTTATCAATCTTTCTCAATTCCTACTAGAAGCAAAGCTTATAGCTTACATATATCATCTTTGTTTGTCGAGTGGTGATAGAGATGGAGTGGAAATCTGTAGTTAGATAATTTATAATCTCGAATAGTTTTTGTGTGACCGTTGTGCTTCATTAGCGTCTTTGTTCTTTACAGTTGATTGAAAATGGGCATTTTGAAATTTTATAAAGTACCTGGTCTGAAAACAGGTCAATTGAAAAGTAAATTGCATAAAGTGTCGGAAATTGTATCCTCGATTATAGATCTTGAAACTGAATTATGTTATTATGTGGAAACAGTTGAATCACTTGAAGAAAATGAAGTTCAAATATTAAAGTGGATCTTGTCAACTCCCTTCCAAGAAGAATATTTGCGATGCAATAGCGTATTTAATGATATTCAAGATCATGCTATTGTTATTGAGATTGGACCGAGGTAAAATTTTATTTTATGATTATGTTTTGCCTTACTTTATAATTTTTTGCTTTCTATAAAATCTCTTTTATCGATATATATATATATTGTATATTATTTTTATGTTTTAAGTATATAGATTAATGATTGTTATAGATTGAATTTTTCGACTGCATTTTCTACGAATGTAGTTTCCATATGTAAAACTGTAAAATTGTGCAAAGTAACAAGAGTAGAAGTGGCGACTAGATATTGTATTAAGTATAAAGGGAGATTTGATAAGAAAATAGAAAATGCTGTACGTATATATTTAATTTTATCGTTTGAGTAATAATTTTCAGTAATAATTTGTCTAAGAAGCTATCTCTTCTGTCCTCCTTTCCTTTCCCTCCTTGATCTTTTTTTATCTCTTTTTGTTTTCTCTACTCTATCTTCTCTATTCTTTCTTTTCCCTTTCTCCTTAAAAAATAAATCATCTGTATTTATTAATATTATTTATTATACAATGTGTATTTTATATTCAAAATGATATTGCACAGAATGCTCCCATATAACTGGCCATTCCATTTTTTTCATAGTGATTATATATAAAATATATAAAAATTATCTTTAAAATAGAATAGACTAATTATAAAAAAAAATATATATTTCTAAAGGATTAAGAGAGGCATGCATAACATTTTTATGGTTACATGAATATTTCAATTTAGCAAAGTTACAACGTTCTCTTTAATGAATACAACAATGTGTGGTATAACAAAATGCTTTTATAAATTATACAAATGACATAGAATTTTTTTAGTTCTTGGTGAATTTGCTAAAATTGCAACATATTATAGTTCTTTATTCATCGATCAAAAGTTTTCATGAGCACAAAGCTAGTCTATAGTTATTTAAAATGTTATATTTTATCATTATTTTAATATTAATCTAAATAAGCTCTTTCATACATCGAGATATTTTTTAGATAATAATATATGTAATTTATTTATACATGTATGAATGTTTTACATAGTATGCGTGTTTACATATATGTGTATGTCGGAGGAGGAAAGGATAAATATATAGTATATACTTAGCATATACTTAGTATATATTTATAATATGTAGTATATAGTATATAAGAGTATGTACAAGTACTATTTCTCTTAGCTCTTAGAGTATGTGTTTAAAAATGTTTGGGTAACAGAAAATAATACTTGCTTATTTTCATCTACTCACTCACAGACACATATATGCACGCATATACGCATATAAACACACGTTCAAGCAAACATATAACATTCTCATATAAAGATTTTTGACACAGTGAATCAAGAAGTACAATACATACTATAATTTCAATTAATTTCATCGAAGGCTGAAACTTGTAAGGATTATTCGATTCTTTAATTCGTTTGATGAATTTCATGATGATTTTAACTATTATCTTTTGATTTTCATCGTTCTGTAACCAATTTCTGATTCTTATATTAGCAATGTGTAAAAGGTTATTATATGGCTAAAAATAAAAAGGCGGTACCCATGAAAGCCACATGATTATAATGTTTCTTTTAGATTCATATGTGTGTATGGACGTGTATATGTGAGCACGCGTACACGTGTGTGTGTATATGCGAGCATATGTGCGTATAGGTGCATATGTATATACTTATATATTATAGATTGTAGATGCCTTGGGAGATAAAATGACAGAATGTAGATATATGAAACCTATTGAAACATTTGATCATGGCTTTAGGCCAGAGAAATGGTTTGAAGTTGATGTAATCAAAAATGGCAGGAAGGCTTTAGAAGAAGTTAATTTGAAATTGGGTGAGTAGAAATATTTTATATTAAAAAAAAATATCAATATTTTATATTAAAAAAAAAATCTTTTAGTTAAAGTATTAATAATTGAAATATATCTTTTAACTTAAAATTAAACAAATGTACCAGTCATGCATTTATATATACTGCCTATCAAGTGCATATAATATATGCATTCATATGTAAGCGTGGCAAGCCGTTTTATTTTTTAATAGCGGCTAAAAAATTGTGTCGAATGTTAAATTCTTAAAAAATAATTGCCTAAAAAGAAATTACGATTCTTATTAATAAATTAAAATTATTGTATGACATAATAATAATTGCTTGAATTAAAATTATGTCTCGATATAATAGAAATTCGAAATTATTATGTCGCGATAATATTAATTCATGCAATTATTATTATGTATGATAGAAGTTATACAATGCAATATGCAACGATGTATCTTCTTTGAAAAACTACTACTATGAAATTTCTTTTCAAGGTGACCTTCAAATGACTGTCTAAAGTCAAACCACAAATGATAGCATCTTATATCCCTCTTCAAACCATACAACTTTTGTCTGAAACATTTTTGTCTGCCGGTCTCATTTTTTAAGATATTCGGATATTTGGATGGATTAAAATGAATCACCTTGCATATAAATTCAAAAAATGAGAAAGAAATTATTAAGCGTTTAAGCGTTCTGTCTGCCGATATTTGCCGATATTTGTATTTCTTTCTGTTGTTTTAATATATTTTCGGCTTATATTGAATTGCTTATTAATAAACATTATCGTTTAATTTCGATACGCACTAATTTTCGTGCTTGTCTTTTATTAGTTTAGTTCTTGAGTTTTTGTTTGGAATATCGATATAGTCCTTTGTGTTTTTATTCAATATTTTAAAATATAATTTTTTGTTTTCTTATTTTTTTTATTTTGCAGGTTTGGCATTTGACGATTGGGATTTAGATTTTTATACAAAATTATTTTGCCAAAAGCTGAAACGTAACCCAACTAGCGTAGAATGTTTCGATCTTGCCCAATCTAATAGTGAACATAGTCGTCATTGGTTTTTTAAAGGACGCATCATTTTGGATGGCAAAGAGAAAAAAGAATCCTTAATTAACATGATTATGGATACACAAAATTACTCAAATTTTAACAATGTGATTAAGTTCAGTGACAATAGCAGCGCCATAGAAGGATTTACGATTCCTGTCTTACGTCCTACAATCACTTACAAATGCAGTAACTTTCATGTGGAAAATATCAAACAACATCTTATTTTTACAGCAGAGACGCACAACTTTCCAACCGGTGTAGCGCCTTTCAGTGGCGCTACAACGGGAACCGGAGGTCGACTAAGAGACATACAAGGAATTGGTCGGGCCGGATATTATATAGCAGGCACTGCAGGTTATAGTGTTGGCAATCTTTTAATTTCAGGCTACGATTTGCCATGGGAAGACAAGGATAAAATTTATCCTAGCAATATGGCGCTGCCATTAGAAATATTAATCGAAGCAAGTAACGGTGCTTCCGATTACGGAAACAAATTTGGGGAGCCTTTAATATCTGGTTTTATACGTTCTTATGGAGCGACAGATAACATGGGAGTTAGACGAGAATGGATCAAGCCTATAATGTTTAGTGGAGGATTAGGAACTATGGATGCGAATTTGGCAAATAAAATTCCAGCAAAGCGAGGAATGGAAGTTGTTAAGATCGGTGGACCCGTTTATCGAATTGGTGTAGGAGGTGGCTCAGCGAGTTCTATGGAAGTGCAAGGTGATAATAGTATGGAATTAGATTTTGGTGCTGTACAACGCGGTGATCCTGAAATGGAGCAAAAATTGAATCGTGTTGTGCGTGCGTGCGCGGAGATGGGTGGTAGCAATCCAATTCTTAGTATCCACGATCAGGGAGCCGGAGGTAACGGAAACGTTCTAAAGGAGTTGGTGGAACCTGCCGGTGCTGTGATTTTTACAAAGAATTTTGATCTCGGCGATCCTAGTATTAGTACGATGGAACTTTGGGGTGCGGAATACCAAGAAAGCGATGCAATTTTATGCAAGTCCGAAGACAGTGATTTATTAAAAGAAATTGCTGCACGTGAAAAATGTCCAATTAATTTCGTCGGCATTGTCACTGGAAATGGAAAAATCATTGTTTCCGAAGAAGAGAATTGCGATATTTCAAAATATGTCAATGATGAAAATGAAAACTTAGACAGTACTAAGCATCCAGTAAATTTAGAGCTAGACGTTATCCTTGGAAAAATGCCTCGTAAGATTTTTAATCTACATAACGTGCCGCTGCCAAAATTTCCGACAAAATTGCCCGACGGATTATCCGTGCTCGATGCATTAAACAGAGTTTTACGACTTCCATCGGTGGCTAGCAAACGGTATTTAACGAATAAGGTAGATCGCTGTGTGACGGGCTTGGTGGCTCAGCAGCAATGTGTCGGACCATTGCATACTCCTCTGGCTGACGTTGCCGTGACGGCCATTTCATATTTTTCCACAAAAGGCATCGCAACTTCTATTGGCGAACAGCCAATTAAAGGATTAGTAAACGAAGCAATCGGCGCTCGAATGACGGTTGTCGAAGCTCTTAGCAATCTGGTATTTGCGCGAATTTCCGAATTACGTGACGTTAAATGTAGTGGCAATTGGATGTGGCCGGCCAAGCTTCCAGGCGAAGGTGCAGCACTCTATAACGCTTGTATGGCAATGTGTTCGTTGATGAAAGAACTTGGGATTGCGATCGATGGTGGTAAGGATTCTCTTAGCATGGCCGCACGTATCGGCAAGGATATTGTCAAGGCACCTGGAACTCTCGTCGTATCTTGTTACGCACCGTGTCCCGACATTCGCCAGGTAATCACTCCAGACTTGAAAGCTCCCGTTATGGGACTACAAGGTAGTCTACTCTTTATCGATTTATCTTATGACAAGAGTCGCCTCGGAGGAACCGCTCTGTCTCAAGTTTATCGTCAATTGGGCAACGATGTGCCGGATATCGAAAATGTGCAGGCTTTCAAACATGCCTTTAACGTTACGCAGCAATTAATTGCCGATGAAAAGATTCTCGCTGGTCACGACGTCAGCGACGGAGGATTGATAACATGCCTTCTAGAAATGTGTTTCGCTGGAATGTCAGGGATGAATGTCGATATAACTCATAAATCTGCAGCCGCTATCGATGTTTTATTTTCCGAAGAGGTTGGTTGGATATTGGAAATTGATAAGAAATATCAAAATGAAGTAACGAAAACGTTTCAACACTGCGACGTTCCCGTTTATTTAATCGGAGAATCCGTGGGGCTTGGAATGGAATCGAAAATAGTTATTAAAATACGAAATGAGATTGTATTGAACACTACAGTAATCGATTCAATGAACATTTGGGAAGAAACTAGTTTTCAACTGGAATGCCATCAAACAAATGTCGCCTGCGCCTCGAAAGAGTTTTCTGGGTTTAAAGAACGAACTATTCCCGCTTATCATTTGAGTTTCGATCCCGTTAGATTTCGATCGATACCGACAGATCCATCAAATAATATTAAAGTAGCCGTCATAAGAGAAGAAGGTATTAACGGGGATAGGGAAATGGCAGCTTCTCTATGGGAAGCTGGCTTTGATGTCTATGACATTACGATGCAAGATTTGCTGAAAAATCACATCACATTGGAAATGTTCAAAGGCATAATTTTTCCTGGAGGTTTTAGCTACGCCGATGTTTGTGGTTCTGCCAAAGGATGGGCAGCCGGTTTTCTTTTTCACCCATCTCTACGCGAACAA